GGTGGATCCCCATGGATCCCACCTCAGGAACATCCCATGGATCTCATTCCAAGGTGGATCCCCATGGATCCCACCTCAGGAACATCCCATGGATCCAACCCCAGGAACTGAGAGGATCCCACCCCAGGAACATCCCATGGATTCTACCCCAGGAACATCTCATGGATCTCATCCCATGGATCCCACCTCAGGAACAACCCATGGATTCTACCCCAGGAACATCTCATGGATCCCATCCCATGGATCCCATCCCCAGGATCCCATCCCAGGAGCTGCCCAGAATCCCATCCCAAGGTGGATCCCCATGGATCCAACCTCAGGAACATCCCATGGATCCCATGGATCCCACCCCAGGAACATCTGATGGATCCCATCCCATGGATCCCACCTCAGGAACAACCCATGGATTCCACCCCAGGAACATCTCACAGATCTCATCCCATGGATCCAACCCCAGGAACATCCCATGGATTCTACCCCAGGAACATCTCACGGATCCCATCCCATGGATCCCAACATCCCATGGATCTCATTCCAAGGTGGATCCAACTCCAGGAACATCCCATGGATCCCACCCCAGGAACATCTCATGGATCCAACCTCAGGAACATCCCATGGATCCCATCCCATGGATCTCACCCCAGGAACATCTCATGGATCTCATTCCAAGGCAGATCCTCCATGGATCCCATCCCAGGAACTGCCAGGATCCCACCCCAAGGTGGATCCCCATGGATCCCATCCCAGGAACATCCCATGGATCCCATCCCAAGGCAGATCCCTGTGGATCTCACCCCAGGAACATCTCATGGATCCCATCACAGGAACATCTCATGGATCTCATCCCATGGATCCAACCTCAGGAACTGCCAGGATCCCATCCCAAGGTGGATCCCATCTCAGGAACATCCCATGGATACCATCTCAGGAACTTCTCATGGATCCCATCCCAGGAACATCTCATGGATCCCATCCCACGGATCCCACCCCAGGATCCCATCCCAAGGTGGATCCCCATGGATCCCACTCCAGGAACATCTCATGGATCCCATCCCAAGGCAGATCCTCCATGGATCCCATCCCAGGAACTGCCAGGATCCCACCCCAAGGTGGACCCCCATGGGTCCCACCTCAGGATTCCATCCCACTCCATGAATCCCCCACAGATCCCATCTCAAGGTGGATCCCAGCCCAGGAACATCCCACGGATCCCATCCCAAGCTGGATCTCCTGGATGCCACCCCACAGGCCCCACGCACCGATGTTCATGATGCTGTCCTTCTCGGGGTTGAAGAAGAGCCAATCGTAGAACAGAGCCAGCTTGGCGTTGGAGGCGGCCACGTTGGACTGCAGGAGACCAAAAACCCCAAACCTCCCATGAACACCATGCTGAGATCCCACCAGGATCCCTCCAAGAACCCTCTGAGACCCCACCATGAACCCCCTGAGATCCCACCATGAACCCCCTGAGATCCCACCAAGATCCCACCAAGATCCCTCTGAGATCCCACCAAGATCCCTCTGAGATCCCACCATGAACCCTCCGAGATCCCACCATGAACCCTCCGAGATCCCACCATGAACCCCCTGAGATCCCACCAAGATCCCACCAAGAATCCTCTGAGATCCCACCAAGATCCCACCAAGAACCCTCTGAGATCCCACCAGGAACCCTCTGAGATCCCTCCAAGAACCCTCTGAGATCCCACCAAGATCCCACCAAGAACCCTCTGAGACCCCACCATGAACCCCCTGAGATCCCACCAAGAACCCTCTGAGACCCCACCAAGATCCCTTTTTGGGATGTTCCTGCCCCTGTTTTCGGGATGTTCCCATTCCCAGCCCACCCCATACCCCATTTTGGGTTTTTTCTCCATCCTGTACCCCATTTTTGGGTTCTCCCAGCCCATTTTTTGGGGTTCCTCCTACCCTGTATCCCATTTTTGGGATCTCCTGGCCCATTTTGGGGTTTCTCCCACCCTGTACCCCGGTTTTGGGGCTCTCACCGTGCAGGTGGTGAGCAGCCAGCCGATGATGGCCCTGTGTCCCATTTTGGGGTTCTCCCAGCCCATTTTTGGGGTTCCTCCCACCCTGTACCCC